CTTTGGGGAAGAGACAGCCCTGAATTTCCACTCAGGCATTTTTGGTGATGTCACTTACTCTTTCAATATTTTAATAATTATTGTTTTCAAGTTCTTCAACTTAAAGCCTACTTTATCATATGCTTCAGCAGATAACTGTGTATTTTATTAAATAATTTACTATTTTTAGGTAGAGCTGACAGTAAACTGTTTGAAAATATTGCAGTGTGTATATAGTACTTCTGTATCTCATATCATAGCAGTAGATGAGTACATCTTCCTGATATGCATATATATTCGTTTATTATACCTGACTTCCTTTGGCAGAATCCAGTATAAGTTTTATAGCATTCAAAGTCAAAACACAATTGAAAGCAAATAATCACCCGTGGCTTAGTAGGTATTTTGCTTTAAGGAATACATAATTTAATATTATTAATTTTAGTATTAGTGGCTTCTTCTTTTTTTTAACTCTGCAGTTACAAAAATATAGACTTTTAAAGGACTTGTGATCCTTTGCCATAAGTATAAAAATTTACCATACATTAAAAACTGTGGTAAGAGGATAGAATTGAGTAATGTGGACTTTACCTCTAGAAGGAACTCATGAAGGTCTCCATTCTGCTATAATTTTTAATGTATAAATTTCTCTATAGATAAAGGAAGTTAGATTTTTATGGATTTTCAAATTAGTTGCCATTCTTATGTATTTTTTCAATGGACTAGTTCTTGATTAAAGTCATTTTTAAGTTTTAAATAATAGTTCACTGTGTATTATGACTTTTGTCCATAAAGCCTGTTTGTAATTATTAGCTTATTTTCTGTGTACTAAACATATTTTATAAGAGCTGAAAAAATTGTCAACATTGGAATATATGGAGAATTCATTACATAATTATTTTCTGTGTTAGTTTAGGGATTGTTGCTTTCTGAATCTTGAAAAAGTTTTATGTATTTTCATTTTTTCAGAGATGTCAAATTGTAAGGTAAATCCAAACAGTTATGTCCACGAGTTTTATTATTTTTTAAGTAGGAAAACATATAATTTTTAGGTTTATATATCTTTAATGCATTGTCACATTAGAAATGTAGTGATTTCTAAGAGCATCTTAAAATGCTAACCACCATCATTTGTTGTGGATTCAGTAGTAACTATGTAGTAAAATTAGAAATTATCGACAGATATTTAGCTTTTCTCCTCTCCCAGATGGTACCTTCCCCCAAAACATACTTCCAGGTAATTACAAAGAGGAATTTAAAAATGGACATTCTCAACTCTTTAGGTCAGAACTATAATAATACATTGCATATTAAAACTTGTAAGTTAAAGCTGATGCAGTATTCAAAAGGAAATTTATAACTTTAATTTATTACTAACAAACAGAAAAATAAAAAAGCATTATATGTGCATCTCCTTTGCTAGGGAAAAATAGCAATAACAAACTAAAACCCAGAGAAGGAGGAAGGAGTTAATAGAAATAGCAAAAACGCCGACCCTTTTTGAAGATTGAGCAATAAAGACAAAAGCTTATTGAAAAGCCTTAAAAGTAGATACATTTTTGATCTACAAAGAAAAGTACAAATAAACTGTATAAGGATTCAAAAAGGCAAGAAATAAAGATCTAGAGGAGATTCTTTAAGTTAAGAGAACATTATTATATACAACCTTATACCTATGAAGTCCATTTTATCTAAGAAGAAAGTAGAAAGCTGAAAATTATGAGGAACTCTGTTAAAATTGTAGTCACTTGTAGTGAAAGATCTGTTTCTGAAGAAATCATTAGGCCCCAAAAGCCTTGCCAGAAAATTCTGACAAACATTTGAGGAACAGGTAATTCACTTCTCATATAAACACTTCCAGAGTATAGGAAAAGATGAGGCCTCATTTTATGAAGCACACCCAACTGTGGAATTCTGTGGCGTTAGAAAAGAACAAATATAGGCCAGTTTTATTTTCCAGCATTGGTTTCTCTCATGAATGTAAGGCTGGTTCAATATTAACCATTATATTTCACTGTACTAACAGAAGAAGGATGTAAATTGTGTGATCATCTCAGTAGATACCAAACAAGGAGGATTTGCTAAAACTGACCAGGTGTTGGAAAAAATAGGAGGGAAGTACCTTAAATCTCATAAAGATGATCAGAAACCTGTTATAAATATCATATTTAATAGTGGATCTTTGGAAATATTTCCACTAGAGTTGAGAATAGGACAAGGATGCCTTATCTGTGCTGCTATTTAGAACTTTGGTGACAGGGCAATAAAATAAAACAGGAAAAAGACATGAGGAGTAATAATGGTAAATGATAAACTGTAATGCTTAGCAACTAACTGATAAAAGGAAAACATTTTCTAGTAGCCTTGCTGTACATCAGGAACAACCAGTGGGAAATTGTAATGAGAAAACGGTTTCACATATGGTAGACATTTAAAAATAAGAAAATACTTAAGAATAAACTGAAAAACAAAATTTCAAGACCATTATGAAGAAAACGGACAGAAAAAGAAAGCATGAGTCAACAGTGATCTACCATTTCCTGGATAGGAAGACTTGATTCCTCTCAAATCACTATGCAAATTCAGGATACTCAATATTTCAACTGGATTTTTTAATGGAAAAACTGTCAACACACTCTGGAATCCAATGTTCCATTGGTTATGATTTATAAAATGCCATTTTAAGTAGTTTTAACTGAAAATAGCTTTTTCAGTTTTTTCTTTCAGTCTCTCCTCCCACTCGCCTCCCTCAATGAGTAAATCTGTGGCTGCCTAATCCACGAGAGAATTTTGAGTAATGAATACCACGTGTCTGTTTATTCACTAGCGTTTTTGAGTGCTAACATTTGTTATTAGGCAAACGATATACGATTACTTTTTTTTTTTCCCCACACAGAATTATTTCCTGAGATATTCCTTGGTAAATAACAAAGAAATTCTTGGTTTGCGTAGTTTGCTAAACAAGGCCCCAGTGTGTCTGAATCCCAACAATTTATGCAACTTTTATTTAAACAGGTACCATTGTGCCATTATACAAGAAATGATAGATATGCCTAAGAAACCAAGAGCAAATGAAATAGTAGTAGTAATCAAAGATATAGTAATAGAATATTACCTCCTTCACTAAAAAAATGACTTGTTTATAGAGTTTTTTAAAAGATTTCACAGAATACTTGCCAGAAAAAGAGACCCAATCTTAGATATATTATGACAGATATTTTGAATTATAATTAAAAAATTGTAGTTTCCCTAGATTAAAACAACACAAAAAGTCTGCTCTTTGATTTCTTTTTTATGATATTAAATGGCAGAAGAAAGCATGTCTGTGTCTAAATTTTGTTATTTTTTTCCTCTGCCAGTAGTTTAAATTTTGAAGTGATAAAAAAATTTTTTTAAGAAATATTTGAATATACTATAGATGTATATGACATGAAATTGAAGCTCTCTTTACACTGCCTGCCAATCATAGCCTCTAGAGGTAACCACCGTTAGCTTTGGTGTTTATTCTTCTAGACCTTTCCCCATATATAACATATACAAAATAATGTTTTAAATTTGCTTTCATTTTTAAGGGCAAATAATAATAGTATACATATTATGCAATTTATAGAATACCTACTAGATAGCCTGCCAAAAGAAAAAATGAAAGACATTCTTGTATAAGTTGGAGTACAGAAAACACTTTCTCATATACCTTTCTTGAAAAAATTACTTGAAATATTTTAGTTACAGGAAGGTAAATCCATATTAAGAATTTAAAAAAATGTGCTGTACATGTCCTTGGGTGTTAATAATATGCATAAATAATTAAGTCCTGAGGAAAATCTTCACCTTGGGAGTCATAGGTAATTGATTGCCTAGCCCATATTGGTGGACTTGAATACTTCTTAAGTTTTGGGGTCTTCTTTAGAAGTGACTATTTTGGGAAAAAAGGGTTTAAAAGTAAATAATATTTTCTTTTTATGATATGATTGTATTGGCTAATTGAAATTATCTGGAAGAGCACTTCCTTAGGCAGGCCTCATGAACGCACTCAGAAGTTTAAAATTCTTAAAAATATATTTATCGTAAAATGACAGCAACAGCCACAAGAAAAACAATTGAGTATCATAGCAATGCCTTGGTAAAAGACTTAAAGGAAATAAATACAAAGAAAATATTCATGTGGTGATGGGGTAATTTTTCTATTTTTTTCCTTTCTGCCTCTGGTATTAAATTTTTATGAATATGTATGTGGGCAAAATATGTGATCAGGCAGTGTTTAATAAGCAGTACAAATGATTAATAAAATAATCTCACTGACAAATGTTAACACTAAGAAGGTAACATTTTTGTCAGTTTTTTAAAGGTTAACACAATATGAAATTAAATACTTCAAAGAGTAATATCATGTGAACATTTATATACATTGCTATTGAAAGTGTAAATTAACAAAGCCTGTCTGGAAAGCATTTAGGTAAGAGCCTTAAAAATACACTCTGTCTCAGGAATTCCACCTCTGTGAATGTAGCTTAAGTAAGTAATCTGAAAGAACAAAATTATTAATTGCATGTTATTTGACTACAGCAGTTAGTTAAGAAACAACTGAACACATCCAGTAGGAAAGAGACTGTATAACTAATGATTCAATATATCATACATATACTCATATGTACTATCAATAAGGGATTTATAGATATGCTTACTATACACTTCTCAGTGAGAAAAGTAAGTGTGGTTACAACTGTGTTAAAAAATAACAAACGCAAGCACACATATTCAGAAATATACTGGTTTGTGAGCAAACAACCACAGTTCAAGGAGGAAAAAAGCCAATCTTACAAAATTAAGAGTGTTTACGTTTTTGTTATGATTTTCTGTATTTTTCAGATATATGTTTTACAGTCAACTTGCCTTATTTCCTTTGCTGTTAGCTATCTTCTGAGGATCCTATTACCTGTGGGTTTCTTGTTATGTATGCATGGGTTTCTTTTTAATACTATAATGCCATTTGATTTCCGTCTCATTTTTGCTCTTTTTAGGCCAAGATAGCCAGGTTAACCAAACGCTTTGGAGCAGCCAAAGAAGATCTTAAGAAAAGACAAGAAGTAAGAATTTCTATTCTTGCATAATTAATATTTAGCCTTAAGTGGTAATATTAGGAAGTGCTGATTTAGGAGGAAACTCTTTATTACAGGTCGGAAATTTGCTTTCATACTGTGCACTTCCTGCATGTTGTTTCCAGAGCTGCTACTCTAGAACTAATTATTAACCGTTTCTAATCCTCACTGTTTTCATACATCAGTACATATTAATCTATTTATATAAGGCATTCTTGAAATTGTATTTTCTATCCATCTTTAAAATTGTGTTTTGGGGATTTGCCTTACCTTGTTTCTCTTTTTACATACAGGCATGCCTTGGAGATATTGCAGGTTCAGTTTCAGATCACTGCAGTAAAGCGATTATTGCAATAAAGCGAGTCACAAATTTGTAAAAAATTTTTTCGTTAAAAAGAAGTTATGTTTACGCTACACTATAGTCTATTAAGTGAGCAATGGCATTGTGTCTAAAAAGACAATGTGCATACCTAATTAAGAAATAAAAAACAATGAGAGTAATGTCAAAGATCACTGATCACAGATCACCATAGCAATATAATAATAATATAAAATATTGAAATATTGCAAGAATTACCAAAAAATGTGACACAGAGATGCAAAGTGAGGAAATACTGTTGGAAAAATGGTGCCTATAGACTTGCTTGATGCACGTTGGCATAAACCTTCAATTTATAAAAAATGCAGTATCTGCGACGTGCAGTAAAACAAGGTATGCCTGCATTTGCCAGTATCCTAGTCTAGACTATTATTTCCTCCAAAATGTTTTAGTATACACTGCCTCAAGTAGCCTGGTTCTCTTCCTTTTTTCCCCCATGTAGTTTAGTCCAAGTGTCATAGCATAGCACACAAACTAGTCTGTAGCCACACTTTTGCTTTTGTTGTTTCCTTAGTTATTCAGTAATATGTATTTTTAGTATAGCACTTGTACATTGCACTATTGTTTTTAGTTCAATTTCTTTCTTTTCCTCCTCTTTTCTTTTTTTTAATCATTTGAGCAAGTTACATTTCTTTGTGTCTTGATATCTTCATTGCCTGGGACATAGTAATTGCCAATAATAATTATTTCAGTAGTAGTCATTATTACTGTAGGATTTTTCTGTCTTGAATCATTTTCATATCTTCTTTACTTGACTTTTTAAAACAAAATTTACTTTGAAATAATGATAGATACATAGGAAGTTGCAGCAATAATACGTAGACTCCTATGAACCCTTCACTCAGCTTCCCCCAATGGTGAAATCTTCTATAATTGTAGTACAATATCAAAACCAAGAAATTGTTACAATTCTATTAAATAGTTTTGTAGACCATACCAGTTTCCACCAGTTTTTACACGAATTAATTGTGTGTGTGTGTGTTTCTACGCAGTTTGATCTCATGTATAGATTTATATAACCTGCCACCACCGTCAAGATACAGAACTGTTCCCTCACCATAAAGGGACTCCCTCATGCTGTTCTTTTACAGTTTCAACCTTGCTTTAACCCTACCCTCACTCCCTGTACCCTGGCAACTACTAATCTGTTCTGCATCTCTGTATTCTTTTTTTTTTTTTCCCAGCACCACTTATTGAAGAGGCTGTCTCTTCTCCATTGTATATTCTTGCCTCCTTTATCAAAGATAAGGTGACCATACGTGCATGGGTTTATCTCTCTTCTATTGGTTTTTTTTTTTTTTTTTTTTTTTGCCGTACACGGGCCTCTCACTGCTGTGGCCTCTCCCGTTGCGGAGCACAGGCTCCGGACGCGCAGGCTCAGCAGCCATGGCTCACGGGCGCAGCCGCTCCGCGGCATGTGGGATCTTCCCGGACCGGGGCACGAACCCGTGTCCCCTGCATCGACAGGCGGACGCTCAACCACTGCGCCACCAGGGAAGCCCAACTGATAGTTTTTATCTTTGTTTACACAGGCTATTCTCATCAAACCCTCATTTGGCCACAGCCAAAGATTTTTTAATTATGGTCCTCTTCGATGATGTAATTAATTCTCTGATTTTAAACTCCACTTTCTCAGCTTTGTTTTTTTGTCACAGTATAAAAACTAAGCTGTTTTATTTCTTATATTAGAAAATTGGTATAAATCTTTGTTTAACCTTTATTTGCTATGCATCAACCAAATATAGGAGTTTGAAATTTTTCCATTGTTTTGTGCAATATGAATTTCCATTTTTTCCTTTCATCCTGTGTCTGAACTAAGCAGTGCTGCCCACCGTGTACTTTTCCAGTGTTTATGCATATCAAATTTGTTCTCAAATCTACTTTCCAAGTCTTGTTTGTTTAGTTAAAGAAGACAGGCAGAGACCTTAAGGAATAAAAATGAAAATATTACAATCCATGAAAAGTTTGTCTTGAAGGGCTACAACTGGTATGGAAACAAGGACAAATACTGTGTAATTCCTAAAGATTGGAAAAGATTAATTTGCACAGTTAGTATATGTGGCACTTGAAGGAAATGTTAAGGTGTAGTATTCAGTTTTTCAAATTTTGTTCCTTCCTTCTTTAGTTTGTGAACAAGGCCAATTTTAAATTTCAAAACTTGGACATCTTTCTAACTCATTCTTGTTAATGTTTTCTTCTTGTGAGAGAGATGTGTAGAAATTTCAAAGATTTTGTTCTTTCGTGTTTAATTCCCTTTAATTATGGTATCCACTGTACTTTTACATCTGTGTCTTGCTGTTTTAAAAATAAGACATGTAGAAAGAATGTTTAGAACTTTATCCTGAAAATAACTAAACAAACAATGGCACTTCAGATGCTTTTCTTCTATTTAGATTTGTTCCTTGGTCCTTTGATATTAACCAGTTAATAGTGAACCCCACTATTCAGGTTTGTCTTAAAACATTTTCTATTAATTTCGGAAAGAATAGAAAATCCTCATAGGCAGTTTGCTATTAAGACCACACGCATAATCTAATCTATTTTACTCCTCTATGACTGATACCTTTAACTTTCATCCTTTCTAGTTTTTTACTGCAAAATAAATATCAAGATATTTTTCATCCTTTATCTATGAAAATCAATGACATAATTGATTCTCAAACAAATTTTAGATTGAATCTAAATCCTACATTTCAATTTTTTATTAAAAAATATTTTAAATTCTTTTTACTTTAATTATGATAGAAATAGTTAACATAAAATTTACCTTTTTTTTCGGTTGTTGTTCTTTTTTTTTTATTTTTGTGGTACGTGGGCCCCTCACTGCTGCGGCCTCTCCCGTTGCGGAGCACAGGCTCCGGACGCGCAGGCTCAGCGGCCATGGCTCACGGGCCCAGCCGCTCCGCAGCACATGGGATCCTTCTGGACCAGGGCACAAACCCGCGTACCCTGCATCGGCAGGTGGACTCCCAACCACTGCGCCACCAGGGAAGTCCAAAATTTACCATTTTAAATTCTAAAACTCAGTAGTGTTACCTTTGTTAACATTGTTGTGTAACAGATCTCTAGAAATTTTTCATCTTGCAAAACTGAAACTGTACCCATAGAACCCATTTCCCCTCCCTTTTAACCCCTGGAAACTATTGTTCTACTTTGTTTCCATGATTTTGACTACTCTAGATATCTCATAAGTGCAGTCATACAGTATTTGTTGTTTTGTGACTACCTTATTTCACAAAACGTTATGTCCTCAAGGTTCATCTGTGTTACAGCATGTGACAGGATTTCCTTTTTTAAGGCTGAATAATACTCCATTGTATGTATATACCACATTTTCTTTATCCATTTATGTATTGATGGATATTTGGGCTGCTTTCAACTCCTGGCTCTTATGAATAATGCTGCAGTGAACATTGGTGTGACCTCTTTGACTTCTTGGAGATCAAAGTCTTGGATGTATATACCCAGAAGTGAACTTGCTGGGGCATATGGTAATTCTGTGACTAGTTTTTTGAGGAGCCTCCACTCTTCTTTAGCAGCCACACCATTTTACATTCCTATCAGCAGGACACAAGGGTTCCCATTTCTGTACATTCTTGTCAGCACTTGCTTTTTTTCTGTTTTGTGTTAGTGACCACCCTAATGGATGCGAGGCTGTATCTCAATGTGGTTTTGATTTGTATTTCTCTGATTAGTGATGCTGAGCATCTTTTCATATGCTTGTTGGTCATTTTGCATATTTTCTTTGGAGAAATGTTTATTCAGGGCCTTTAGCCATTTAAAATCTGGTTACTTGTATTTTAGTTGTTAAGTTGTAGGAGTTCTTTATATGTTCTGGACATTAACGCCTTACCAGATACATGATTTGCAGTTATTTTCTCCCATTCCATAGGTTTCCTTTTCACTCTGTTGATTGTTTCCTTTCATGTGCAGAAAATTTGGTTTGATGTAATCTTCTTTGTCTTTTCATGCTTTTGTTGCCTTTGCTTTGATCCAAGAAATCGTTGCCAAGTCCAATGTCATGAAGCTTCCCCCTGTGCTTTCTGTTAGGAATTTCATAGTTTTAGGTTTTACATTTAGGTCTCTAATCCATTTGGAGTAAATTCTTGTATATGGTTTAATGGTCTAACTTAATTCGTTTGCATTTGGATATCCAGTTTTCACACCATTTGTTAAAAGACTGTCATTTCCCCATTGTGTAGCCTTGGCACCCTTGTAGAACATCATTTGAGTGTATACATAAGAGTTTATTTCTGGGATCTCTATTCTGTTTCACAGGTTTATGTGTCTGTCTATATTCCAGCACCGAACTGTTTTGATTACTGTAGCCTTTTAAAATCAGAAGGTATGAAGCCTTCAGCGTTGTTCTTTTTTCAGATTGTTTTGGCAATTCAGGGTTTCTTGAGATTCCATATGAATTTTAGGATGCTTTTTCCTACTTCTGCAAAAAATGACAGGGATTTTGGTTGGCATTGCATTGAAAGTTTTGACCACTTTGGATAGGATGGACATTTTAACAATATTAAGTCTTTCAATCCCCATGAATATGTCTTTCCGTTTATTTGTGTCTTTTATTTCTTTCAACAAGGTTTTGTAGTTTTCAGTGTAA